GTCCTGCACACCAGGCTTTCCCCAATGAGGTGAATAATACCTTACAGACTCATAAGGGATAATTGAACTAACGTGTGTGAAAGAACCTGATCAATGTAGATTACTCAGCAGTCAAACAGGAGAGACTAATGCCCTTTGCAGCAACATGGATAGAGCTGGAAGGGATCACGCTCAGCAATATAAGCCGGAAAGAAAAAGAAAAATATCAAATGGTCTCACTTATAGGAGGAATGTAGAGAAAACAAAAAAGGAATTGGGGGGGGGAATGTAATTATAATAAAGTAAAAATCAAAATCATCAGGCAGCTACAGAGATCAGAGACATTCTGGAGGGGAGGAGGAGGGAGAAGGACCAGAACAGAGGTGGGAAGAGCCCAAGGGATGATGATGGAGCATGGGGACACAATACATTGTACAAAAATGAAGGATGACACCATGGATATATTTTTTTAAAAATTTAAATAAAATAGCCAAAAAAAAGAACCTGAAAATTTAAATGCGCTAAACAACATAAAACATCTAAGAGGCAGCGTCGCTGACATTAGACCTTTTTTCCTCAATCACTTGTTATCCGTCCTTCCTACCCAGGGCCTGCCGACTTCAATTAGTGATGGCTTCCCACCCCCGCCCGGGGGTGAGGGTTGGTGGTGGTGGTGGGGGGGAGGTGGAAAGAAGGATAAATCAGCTTCAAGTTGCGGCCAGTCTGCATCTCTTCCTTATCCAGAAGCAGCAACATTCCTCAAGTATGTGGCGATCGCCATGGCAACAGAGACTGCGGCCTCATAGCCTGGTGTCCACACAATGGCGGTGCGCATGCAGGCATACTGGGCAAAGCCAGAAGGATCCGGGTGTGGGCGCCGCACTCCCCAGCCTGCCAGGACACCCGAGGGTGCCGGGGGGAGATGCAGGTCCAGGCACACCTGGTTTTACTGCACTTCGCTTCACTGCATTCCACACGGGGCTTTTTACAGATGAACATTTTGTGGCACCCAAGTCTGTTGGCACCATTTCTTCAAATCAGAGCTCATTTCATTTTTCATAGTTTAGCAGCGAAATGTTTGTTAATGAAGGTATGTAAGTACATTGTTTCTTTACACAAAATGCCATCAGCGGGCTTAACAGTATAACACCACTTTTATCTACACTAGGAAGCAGAAAACCCATTAACTTTTTTTTTTTTTAAGATTTACTTATTCATACAGAACTGGGGTACAGGCCAGAGATGCGGAGGGTGAGAGGATTCACCAGAGACAGA